AGGAGGAGGAGGAGGAGGAGGAGGAGGAGGGGGAGGAGGAGGAGGAGGAGGAGGAGGAGGAGGAGGAGGAGGAGGAGGAGGAGGAGGAGGAGGAGGAGAGGAGGAGGAGGAGGAGGAGGGCGCCTCCGGCGGCGCGCCAGGGAGGGGGAGGCCCAACGCCAAGCCAAGAAATCCGCGGGGACCTCCCGCGGTTCATGCTGATGCATCTTGTCCTCTCCGAGATGTGCTGGTCTGCTCCAGGGCCCACTCCACGTGCGACTGGACCTCTAAGACATGATAACAGCCTTCAAGCACACGAGACACCCTCCTCCTCCTCCTCCTCCTCCTCCTCCTCCCCCCTCCTCCTCCTCCTCCTCCTCCTCCTCCTCCTCCTCCTCCTCCGCCGGCCCAACCCCCCATAAGATCACTCGCGGGTACCCTCCCCCAGGATGGCACGAAGAGCATGCAGCAGACACGAAACACATGACACCTGAGAAAACCCCACTCAGTGGATGATCTGGAACTTAGTTAGTCATATGGATCTTGAGATCGATTGTGAGATCGATGATGTAATCGATAGGGGACTATTGTGTAAGGTCGATCGTGAGACCGAGAGTGACATCGATTCAATGAGATCGATAGGGAGATCGATCGCGAGATCGCACGTGCGATCTCTAGTGAGATCGCTTGCGAGACCGATTGTGAGATCGATTGTGAGGTCAATGGTGAGATCGATAGAGAGGTTGGAAATGGGATCGATGCTGAGGCCGATCGATAAGAAGATCGACCAGGAACCCGGGAACCTGGGAACCTCGCCGGCCACCGAAATCGGCCCGGGAATCGGGAACCCGGGAACCTGGAACCAGGAACCCGGGAACCCAACGTGCGACCAAAATCGGCGGGAAACTTTCGCCAAATCCTTCAACCTCCGCGAGGACCCCGTCAGTGCAAGCACTGATTGGGGAACATCGGCCCGACCGCACAGCACGGTCGTGTCCTGACGAGCACAGCGTTGGATTCTGACACCGCGTGGCTCGTTCAGCCTTCAACGATCGGCGGCTGGCCGATCGCCAGATCGTTCCGTAGTGGCCGATCCTGGGCCAGTGGCGGCGTCCAACCTTGAACGCCCGCGGCGGTGTCGCCGCCGCGTCGGCACGACGGGAACCTGCAGTATAGAGGCCTCCCGACTGGGTTCGAGGAGATGGGGTCGGAAGGATCGCGCCGCGTCGCCGACGCATCACCGAAGCAGCGGTGGTGCACCCGTGACGTCGGCGACGCATCAGCGACGTCAGCGTGGCGAAACTCGGGATCCGCATCGAGCCGCATCCCGATGCGGCGGCGATGCGGCGCGATACTCTGGCCCCATCTACTCCGACCCCACCCGAGAGGCCCAGACGGACCCTGAGGTCCGACGTCGCGAGCACGTGCAGCATCGCAGAACAATCACGACCGGAGCCCTCGACCCACCAATCGTTCTGCGACAGTTCCCAAGCAGCATGGATTTGCGAGCCCTGGGGGCCCGAAATGATGCGAAACCGCCCGCAGCGACAACAAAACGCCCGGAGCGACAAACTTCGACGCCAGGATCCCAGGGAAGGTATCGGGAGGAGGGCCTGAGGAAATGGATGGGGTGGTCGGAGCTGGCCGGAGCCGCGGTCGGCCCTGGCCACCTCTCCCTGGGCTTCTCCTGCAGCTTCTGAACCGCGGCCCTGGCACCCAGAGTCGGGTGTTGCTAGAAGTGCCCCTGGCCCAAGGTGCCCCCAGCTTTTCGCTCCATCTCGGGCCCCCTGGGGCCCCCTGGGCCTCGCGAGGTGTGCTCTGGAGGCCGCCTGGGCCACCCCGAGAATTCTGGGGGCACCTTGGGCCAGGGGCACCCCTAGCAGCACCCGACAGAGGGCTGCACGGGCAGCCCCCCCGCCTCCCTCCCACGCCCTGCCCCTCCGCTCTCCCCCCCCCCCCCCCCTCGCGGCGGGGCGGTGCCCACGGCGGCGGCCCCCCCCTGGGAACGGCGGCCTCCGAGGCGGTCTTCGGACTGGAGAGGACGAGGACGAGGAGGAGGAGGAGGAGGAGGAGGAGGAGGAGGAGGAGGAGGAGGGAGGAGGAGGAAGAGGCGCAGGAGGAGGAGGTGGAGGTGGAGGTGGAGGAGGAGGAGGAGGAGGAAAACGAGGAGGAGGAGGTGTGCCCCCCAGACGCTTCTGTTGCCCCAGGGGCCCACCGGAGCTCTGGGGCAACTCGCAGGATCCCCACCGCTCGACGCAGAGTGTGCCCTCTCTTGGCCTTGACGTGAGGCCCCGCCTTCTTTTGCCCCTCCTCTGCTAATATTAAAGCTGTGCGTGGCCCGCTTAGGTTCTATCGGAAGAGGCTCGCTCTCGACCTGCGGATCGTAAGAGTGTGCCCCAGGACTTTTTTTTTTTTTTTTTTTTTTTTTTTTTTTTTTTTTTTTTTTTTTTTTTGTTTTTTTGTTTATTAATTTTCTTTTCTTTTCTTCTTTTTTAAATATTTTTTATGCCAGACGTTCTTGGCGTGCGTGTCGACTGCATCGCCGCCCGCTCGGCCGCCGCGGCTCGGACGCCGGGGTGCGGCTCGACGACGGGGGCCCCGGCCTCTCTCAAGCACGCCCACAAGCTGAGAGGGGGCGGTGCCATAGACTTGGGGCAATTGTATTGCAAATGTGTTGCGCCGGAGAATTGTATTGCATTGTATGGCAAGTAGTGTATGGCACGCGAAAATCCAACATTACATTTGCGCCCCAGAATGTATTGCACGCCCCAAATATATTGCGACCCCACAAATCTATGGCACCAACTCTAGTGCACCACCCCCTTGTCGCTGGACCCCTTTTTGGGGCAACCTGACTCTTACACCACGTGGGCCGTCTGGTCCTGAACTTGCCCTCGGCGCCCGCCATATGGGCAGGTGGGAGTTGATGTTCTTGAGCAGCCCGGGTCAAAACAGACATGTCAGCATATTGTCCTGTACAGTGGAGGCCAGTCCACAAGAACTCTTCCACAAGAAACCCAACCCTGAGACCCCAGGACGTCCACTGATTTTCGGTGTGGGAGCGTCACGGTTCCCATCGCGAAACCCTCGAAACCCAGGGCCCCCTGGAGGCAAGCAGGGTGTTTCTTGACATGGGCTTCCACTGTGCGAGGCGCAACCTCGCCGCACTCTTCACGGACTTGTCCGTCCTAGTGTGGACGATGCACAGCTGACCTTTCCTCCGGCGACATGCACTTTGCTTCTCCAAACCGTGCTTACGCATAGGGGTCGGCTTTTCCACCAGACAGTGCTTACAGATACTCCAGATTTCGTAATAAAAGGGAGGGGGTCTGGACCCTCCAAGACGAGCCATTTCAGACCCCCCCCGTTGGAGAACCCTCCCAAACATCGTCCCCAGACCCCCCCAGGCCCTCCAAGATAGCCTGGAAGAGAACCCCCCCGAAATGAGACCCCCCTCCCTGTATTACGAAATCTGGAGTAGGGGTTCCGACTTGCGCTTCTCAGGAATGGGATGGGCGCCCCGAGGATTCGCCACGTTCTGGCTTGCTGTCGCCCCGCTGCCGCCTGTGGGGGTGTCCCGGCCCCGTTGCCGGCCGTGGCGGCCCGTGGGGGTGCCCCGAGGATTCGCCGCGCTCCGGCCAGTTGCCGCCGGTAGGGTTTCCAAGAGATGCGCCACGTCCTGGCCCTTTGCCGCTTCGGCGGGTACGTCGAGGATGCGCCACGTTGCCGCCCGTTGCCCCCTCGTTGCCGCTGCATCCCATGGCTTACACTCACTGTCTGGGGCCCACGCTTGCAGCCATCATCTTGACGTGCGTCTGAAGATCCTGGGGCCGGGAAGCGACGAACAAGCGGCCGTCGCGATCAGTTTTTCGTGTCGCCTGGATCTAATGGATAAGGGTTTTGCCGCCCGTGCCCGTGGTGGCGTCGCCTCCGCACTGACGAGGCGCAAGCTTGCCGCATTCGTCCTGGACTTTTCCATTCAATGTGGACGATGCGCATCTTGCGCTCCTTGGTTCCCACACCCCCCTGGGTCATTTCACAAAGACCACGGTGGGAGGTTTCTCGGCCGTCCTCGGTCTCCAGGGGCCCTCGCAGGGCCCCAAGAACATCAACAACGACCCCGGAAGAAAAACCGGTCCCAAGGAATGGGTCAAGACCTCTCGGGGCCGACGTCGTGAAAACATCATGACCCCAAGAACATCAACAACGACCCCGGAAGAAAAACTGGTCCCAAGGAATGGGTCAAGACCTCTCGGGGCCGACGTCGTGAAAACATCATGACGTCGGGGGTCTGGGCTTCCGAGTCCTAACTCGGCTGTCCGGCGGCCGTCCACGACGATCCGGGCACCTCCAGGACTCCCTCGGCGTGGCGCGGCTGCTGGAAGGAATCGCGAGCCTAGAAGAAGGAGGAGGAGAAGGAGGAGGAGGAGGAGAAGGAGGAGGAGGAGGAGGAGGAGGAGGAGGGAGGAGGGAGGAGGAGGAGGAGGAGGAGGAGGAGGAGGGAGGAGGGAGGAGGGAGGAGGGAGAGCCGCCGAGAACTGATGAGGACGTCCGCAAGCCCCGATCTCGAACCCGGAAACCTCGAACCCAAGGAGCCTCGGACCTCTCCCGGGGTGCCTCCTGACAAGCCTTCGGCCGCGGCCACGGGGGGGCGCCCCAGGACGATCCAACGTCCAGAACGCGAACCTCGATCCTCGAAGCTCGAGCCTCGAGCCCGAAACTCAGTGTGGACGTTGCCATCGTAGAGGCCTCCGAGATGGGGTCCGAGCAGATGTGGTCGGAGGATTTCGCCGCATCGCCGATGCATCGGCCATGCATCGCCGATGCATCGGCCATGCACTGGCGACGTCGGCGACGCATCGGCGACGTCCGCGTAAAGAAAATCGGGCTCCGCATCGAGCCGCATCGGCGATGCATCGGCGATGCGGCGCGATCCTCCGATCCCATCTACCCCGACCCCATCCAGGAGTCCTAGGCATCGCGCGTCAGCTTCAGTCTACGAGGCTGGGCAGCGGCGCGTCCTGTCCGGCATTGTGCTCGCCAGCGGCTTCGGCTGGGGCCTGCGTCTCTCGTTGGTGGGGGTGGTGATCGTGCTGGTGACCCACGGGGCGCCTTCGGGGGGTGGAGGCCACGCTGCGGCACGAGCACGCAGAGGAGGAGGAGGAGGAGGAGGAGGAGGAGGAGGAGGAGGAGGAGGAGGAGAAGGAGGAGGAGGAGGAGGCCCAGACATGCTCGCGCCGCGCACATGTCAAGACGGATTTGTTATGGGATGTTTTCGGCCTCCAAGGGTTCCCTGGCCAGGCCCTGGGGCCCTTGAGAAACGACCCGGGATGAGACACCGGCCCCTGGGAAATGGCCGGGACCCCTGGGGCCGCGGATTGAACACAAATTTGACGATTTGAGCTTCTCAATCGACCGGGGACCGTTATTCGGCCTCGATTTCGATCCTCCTCGAGTTCGGCCTCCGGGGACCGTTATCGGGCCCCGGGGCCATCAAAAACGGACCTGGGACGAAACACTGCCCCTGGGGAAGGGGTCGGGACCCTGGCCGCGGATTGAAAAAATCACATAGGAGAATGTCTGGGAAGGCGAATCGCAGCGCGGCTGGCCCAGAGAGATGGTGCCCGTATGAACCGCTCAGAAGAGATGCCTGGACCCAACCGAGCCGACTTGAGACACTGGAGGCGGAGAAGCTGAAGACAAGCGCGTGAAGACAAGCGCGCGGCCCGCTCGAAGGAAAGCTCCCACAAGCTCTGGGGCCCATTGGTCAGCACCGAGTCGAAGATGCTTCATCGTCGTCGTCGTCGTCGTCGTTTTCCTCCCCCTCAGACGTCTGCTTTGCTACGCATCCTCCACCTAATCCTCCTACCACCTCGGGAACGGGCAGCAAGCAGAATGAGGAACATGAGAAAGACACGTACGTAGGACGTGGCGATGACGATGATAATGAAAACAATGATGCTGATAGTGAGTATGCAGATGATGATGAGGATGATGGTGATGCTGATGCAGATGATGATGCAGATGCTGATGATGGTGATGCTGATGGTGATGCTGTTGATGAAGTGGCGGCGATGACGATGATGGTGATGATGAAGGCAAGAGTGGTGATGGTGGTGATGATACAGATGATGATTATGATGAAGGGGAGGAGAAGGGGGATGATGATATGCATCGTGTAGCGCGGGGGACGAGAGGATGCGGGCGTAGGGAGGAGCGAGAGGGCATGAATGACTGAGAGGAGGAGAAGGAGGTGGAGGAGAAGGAGGACAAAAAAAGATGAGTAAGAACGTTTAGGAACAATCGGAGGCGCAAGACTGATACGAACAAAAACGTACAGGAGAACATGGGGGGCAATAATCAAGAAAATGAACACGATGAGGAGGACGATTGATGTGGACCCGGGTAGGGAACACGCCATTACTCCGATCGGCGGGTTGACCCGTGCAAGCTTGCTAGAGAGCGACAGTCACACCAATAGCAGGGCTTCTTAGCTGCGACAAAAAGCTTCCGAACAATCGAAACACTTGAGATGAAGCCCCCCCTCCCATCCGTGAAACGCCATTAGTCCCATCGGGGCGCACGCACCTTCGGTGGTGCCGCAACAATGCTCAATACTTGTGCTGACAAGCGAGTGCAACGCATTTGCAGCAAGGGCCTGGTGCAGAGTTGTGTCAAACTTGCGCCCTGCAAAGAGCGCTGGCCCCCCTAAGGCTCATACAGCGTTGCAATCAAGTGAAGAATGGGGAGTGGGTTGCTGAGGAGGGAAGAGGAGGAACCCGAGGAAGAAGAGGAGAGAGATGACATGACATGATGATGCTGAGTGTGATGATGTGATGATGATGAAGAGGAGGAAGAACCCAGCGTGGAAAGGAGCAGTCTCCAAGACTAGCCGCGCTTGCGCGGACCGCGCGCGCCGCTGGCCGAGCCACTCAAACTCACGGTGTCGACCTTCTGGAGGCCGAAATAATTGTGGCCATCGTTGGCGACGTCGGGGGCGGCGGCGTCGGGGACGAGGCCACCGTAATTGTCGGCGACGTCGGGGACGAGACCATCGTTGCCATCGTGGGCGAATTCGCGATGACGTGACTACATTCCTTGACAGTCGTGAACTTGATGAGAATGATCTGTGCCACTATCGGAAATCGGCATGCCGAATCACAGCTCCTCGAGGTAGTGTTCTTCGGCTGGAAGCATGGTGGCGTCGGCCAGAAGGCCGCCGTGGAAGAAAAAACTCCGCCATGAGGAACTACGGGCGGCAGCTGGGCGGGATAGAAGGTCGTGTTGAGGCGTGGGGGCGCTGAGTCTGAGTCCTTCGCCCCCCCCAGAAACGAAGCAACGGTGATAACCTCCTCGAAGAAGTTCCGAAACCGCGGGTTGGGGAAAATGCGGAGGCGGCATCCCCTGAGGTTCTCGTGCTGCAAGCGGGCCGTGGTGAGCTTGCGTTCCAATTCCAACGGGTCCATGGACGACAACTCCCGAAACATCGCCCCTCTCGGATCCCCACCCCGTTCTCAGATGTCATCACATATGCTCATGGCGAGTACATCAAGCAGCTCACAGCACTCGTCATCGAGGGTGCCGTTGGATGGGTGGTCGAAGAAAGCCTGCCTCAGCTGTGTCATCGTCCAGTGTTGCTCGTCGTCTTTAGTCTAAGTGCTCGTCTTGGTAGAGGAAGCCAGGGCGCCATTGCCCCGGGAACGGGGGGACAATGTGGCGGGGATCTCCGCAGTCGTTGTAGGCATGGTCGGGGCCACAGGCATGGACAAAACAAATGAGCGGAGGCGATCGTCGCAGACTGGAGCGACATTTCGCAGCTGGAACAGGCCAACCACGGCGTTGATCATGAGTTGGGCGAGCGTCTTGTATTTGGAGGGGGCTGTCAAGGAATCCCACTTGGCTGGCGCGGGGCCCCTGTGGCCCAGTAAGAGCACAGCCGGTCGCCAGAAGACTGCTGCCGTCTGACTCGCCTTTGACCTTCTCAGACGCAGGTGGACCTTGAGGAGGAGGAGGAGGAGGGAGGAGGAGGAGGAGGAGGAGGAGGAGGAGGAGGAGGAGGAGGAGGAGGAGGAGGAGGAGCAGCGAGAGGCCATCTTCAGGTCGCGTGCCAAGTCGTGGTCTCTTGACGGGTTTGTGTGTAAAGTATGGTCAGCGCGCTGATGGCGTAGGGGCGCGCAGCAAGGGCGCCCGCGAGGCGGGCGGCCGCTCTGCCCCGCGCGCCGCCCTCCAGCGCTTCTATAGTTGACATCTGCCCATTGCGAAGCTGCGCGGCCCCGACCCATGCTGCGTCGCAGATGCCCCACGCCCCTCGCCGCTCGAATCAGGAGGTGAGGCGGGACAGTTCGGCGTGCGATCGTGCCGTTTGACGATGCGCGGCCGCTCCAGGAGAACTGCCACGCGCGAGGCGCGCCAGCCCATCCAGTCGTCGATGTCCTGCCGGCACTCGTGACCAGTCATGGAGAACCGTTCTCCAGTTCGCGTGTCATAGTGTTCGGTCCCTCGCCGCGCGCGAGGGGCACCAGGGCGGTGCGTGCCCATCGGAGGCGGTTTGCCCATCAACATGCGGGCGACAGGTGCCACAGGAAGCTCCCGCAAGCACTGTGCCGCTCTACCATCAGGTTGCGCGCTCCACTGAATAAAACGTGCCATCGTCGACGCAATTCTGGTGGGTGGATGGCCCGCAGGCTCCGTGAGTATCACCATTGGCCCCGAGATCAATACACATGCCACCTAGGGAGGGCGACGCGACAGGAGAACTGACAATCGATGGCGGAGAAGCGCCGTGCCGGTGAACATACTAGATGCGTAGGTCAACTCCGCCAGCGTCAGGGAATGTGGGCCCTGTGAACTGCTCGATGTGTTGGCAGACCAGAGAGAAGAAAGAGGGCCATCTAGCATAATGTTTCCGATCGCCGAGTCGATTAAGTGATGTGCAGTCAGAAGCGGGTGGATGCCATGCCTGCTGGATTGGCCTTGGTCGCGATAGGCCAACGACCGAGTCGTGCCGTGTGTCGCGGCTTCACCCGCCAAATCTATGGCTCGAATATGCTCGATGTCCGTGTCGTTGGGCGATGGAAGGCGCGGATCGCTGGGAACAGCTGGAATCGCACAATAGGAAGTGGAGCTGATGCTACCGTTGTCCAATACATCGGCTTGTTGAAGTTCGTCACCTTGCTGCCGCGCTAGATTGATGGACGAGGGCGCGGCTGCTCCGACGGCGCGAAGTTGCTGATCTCGAAGAACCTAATGCCTCACAGAGGTAGACGTGCGCGAGGGACCGAACGTCGGATTCTCTAGTTTTCCCGTTGGAACACGAAAGCCGTATGCCTTCTGAAAGGCCCCTGGCCAAGCCATGCGCGCGTAATTTGTGTTCTGGCATGCTCGCGACAGATATTTACAATGCCTCGTCGCGCAAATCTCGAGCGAGCCGTTTGCGCACATGGGCGCCGACTGCTGCTGCAACGTCGAACAGCAGTTCGAAGATGTCGTGTCTCGGCGCCGCGCTGAAGCATTACTCTCACCACCTCCCAATCGAAGTCGGATCCAGTTGGGCACGACCCGAGATGTAGACCGTCGGGGGCCGTTTGCAAGCCAAGCAGCGTCCACGTTGTAGAAATGTTTCTGCGGCGCGAGCAGCGCGTTCAAGATGTGCCGAGGCTGCGGGTGAAGCGCATGGAGCATCGGGCGGGGTGCCCCAGGAGGATGCAGCGCCGCCAGTCACCAGGTGAATCTGAACCAGGATCGACGAGTCGTCAATAGCAGGTGCGACGTCTTGAGGAACTGTTTCAACCAGCACTCGGAGAATCGGGAATTCTTTGCGATCCCTGATGGCCGAGTACGCCTGCAGCAGCTGGTAAAAGGGAGGTGGTGAAAGCCAGGGGAGGGGGCCCGCAGACGGGATCGCGCCAGCGTGCGCACTGCAGGCAGCAAGGCTCGAGGACTGGCCAGCTGCAGGGTCAGGGTTATCAGCGGCATCTCCTACAAAGCTCCCAGTCTACGCATGGGGCCCACGGGGGCCAGACTGGTATTCAAAATCCTCATCGTCCATCGCCTCCTCCTCGAATGGGTCGGGAGCTGCAGCGCGCGGAGGAGAATCCATGGGCGCCGCGCGGGTATGCGTTGGGCAGGGGCGACCGCTGGCGCATGTAATGTCGCGAGCGGAAGAGTAGCGGCTCCCGAAGGAGTGCTCGGAGCCACTGTTGTGTCCCGTAGGGCCTAAATCGTCGAAGATCTGGTCGTCGTTTGGGATGGCCCCGCGCTGGTGGGGGGGTGGATGCGCCGCGGGATCGAGGGCAGGTAGTGGTTGAGGCGGTCGTTCGGCGATGCAAGCCAGGCATTCTTGTCTCTCGCCCCCTCTGCGCGCGAGAGGGGCCGGGCCCCGCCCCCGACGATGGTGAAGTCGAACATATGATTGAGAGAATTATCAAGTAAGAAAGCTGGGCCAACTTTTCCGAAGCTTCTCGAGGAAACGCCGGGCCAGCTCTTGGGGCCGAACTGGCGCGGGCCGGAACTGGAGCGCTGCCAATCCCCTCGAGAAGTTGAGCCACCTTTGAAGGGGCCCTGGGACACACAAATAAATACACACAAATAAAAGGATTCCCCATATTTTCCCATATTTTCTGAATTTTTGTCTTCCCCCCCACTTCCCATTTTTTCCCATATTTTCTTGGGAATCGACGATTAATTGTGTCTGTGCGTTTCTTCCCCTCCTGAACCTTTCTGGCAAGTTGGCCCAGAAGCGCTGGGCCAGCTTTTCGGGGGGAGGTTGCTTAATCATAAGCGGGGCCGTATTCGCGCGCATATCCTGTCGCTGCGGCCGAGAAGCGTCGTCGCAAGCGTTCGCGAGGAATCGCCGATGAGAACTGACCAGCAAGACGCTTCTCTTCTGCAAAGGTCTCTCTGCGTCACGGATCGGAAAAACCGCGCGGCCAGGGGCCGGGTGCCAGGTCGAAGCGCGGCTCGAAGCCTTCGTGCTGCAACCGATCCGAAACGTGTGGGGCGCGCGAAACCATCCAGGAATCATGGCCCGCTCTCGTGTCCTCTGAGAAGATATCTGGAAAACCAAGATTGGGCCCAAAGGTAAATCCTGTCAGTGGATTCGCGTCGTCGTTCCCCATGACGAGGTCGCGGGAAATAATCTTCTCGGCGTCGTTTGTGCGAGAGAACAGCCAGTGCGCCATCGTTGCCCGATCGGAGGGCCTCGCGAACCGGTGCCACTTGGCGACGGGGCAACTCCAGGTGAAGCGCTCGCTCTATCATCGTCGTTGCCCATCTCGCAGGGGGAGAGGGCAACTGGGTGAAGGTTGACGCGAGAGCGCAAGGAGCACGATGGCGACGGTGGTGAGACTGCCACAAATTGCACTTTTGCTTCGGTTTCATTATCGAGGGGCTCGAAGTTGGCGGTAGACGCGAGCGCGGTGTCGCATCGTTGTCCCTCGGCGATTCAGCGGCCATGATGGCGCCCCAGCCCCGCGAGTCCAGACGGGGCGACGGTGGCGGGCTACTCGAGGCCGCCGAGGAAGGGGAGCTGGTAGAAGACGAGGATCTCGATGAGCTGGTCGGGGGCAAATGTTGAGCGCATTAGGGCAGGCATCGTGCGATTCGGGGTCTACCAGGGCCTGCGCGCATCCAGTCGGGCGTGGCGGAGGGCCGCCTCGATCGAAATGCGAGCTGATGCACGGGGCCGCGTGTTTTTGGGCGCGTCGCGAGACGCTGCCGAGTACGCGCAGTAAGCCAGGGCAATGTCGAAGACCGCGTCGCTCACCATCGTGGCTGGTTCCAGAACGACAGGTTTGTCGAGCGCCGGCGATGGGCGTGAGCGCGCCCTCGCTTCCTCGATCACTCGTCGGCGGCGTGGGCATTCCAAGGACGGGCATAATTTGCAGAGCTGGTCGACGCTGCCAAGACGGCAAGGAAAGTGCCAGAGCGCGCGGGGGATGCGGCGCGAAGTGTTCAGATTGCCCACTGTCTTCAGGGAAGCGAATGTCCACGAGGGGGCGGGGGGGCACCTTCTCAAATTTCGAGCGATGTAATTCCACCGCGACGGAGGAACAACTGAGACGCCGTCGACGATCAGCGTGTAGGCCATGACAAGTCGCGGGAGAAAGACGCCCCACAAAGTTAAGCAAACTATCTGCTTGAAAACAGCTGAAACCACCGCCCTCTGAATATGCGTGACTTGTGGCAGCGGCGGCAGACATGCAAATTGTCTTGCCGCGTGCGCCCCGCGCTCTAGCATCGCCGCGAAGTAGTCGGATATTCTCGCTGATGAAGCTGCCGACGTTATGCGATGCAGAATCACAGAAAATGCTTGGGCTCGCCAGAATTCAGGGTCGGGTGCTGACGGTAGGTGGAGCCACTCGTGTAGCTTGAGGTATTATGGTAGGGCCCTATTTGCCGCGCGATTCAAAGCGCCAATGCTGCCGCGAGCCAAGGCGGCACTTTGGGGCCGCCGCTCTCGCGGAGCTCGTTCCATGCGAACGCGCCCAGCGGCGGGCGAGCCAGCGTGGCTTGTTCTTGCGAGGGGGGGGAAGGGGGAATCATGTGAATTTGGGCGACGTAGTCAAGGACAGGAACAACTTTCGACGCACATTGCTTGGTGACTTGGGCGATGATGGCATTGCTGGGCCCCCGGGGTCCGCCCCGTGCTGGCACTTTGGCCACGGGCGCTCGCCCGCGAGCCGCGCCGTCGGCGGCGGGCCCCATGTCGGTGCCAAGGTAGGGCAAAGTGTCGACAATATCCACTAGCGCGAAGCCAAGCACCACGGACCCGCTTGCATCGCGGACACGGTCGCGCAAGTCAGCATAGAATGCCGCGCCGAGTGGAACGAGCTTGCCGGCGTGCGTCTGCGGGGAGAGAGCTGCAATGCTGGAGGCCAGTGGCATATCGCTGTGGGCGATCCTCAGGTGCTTGAGGGCTGCATGCGCACGTTCAATGTCGCCAGCACCGGCGCAAACAATTCCCGGCCGACGGGCCTGCCTCGAGACCTGCGTGGAGGCCCTGAAGGAGGCAGGCGGTCACCGCTGCATAAGCCGCCCGACGAGCATCCTTGAACGGTGCCAGACTCGATAAACCGTGCATGTCGTGGAAGACCATCCGACGTACCCGTGGCCTGCAGCGTGGTCAGCTGGTCGAGGGCCGCCTCGGAAGCGTGGGGCGTCTGCGCTGCGCTGTGCGCCAGTCGCGTGAATGTCTGCGAGTGGCTGGGGAAGGCCGCGCGCGCGCCCGACGCCGTCGGGACATGCGCGTCGGCACTGGCAGTCGGGGCGCTAGTGTAGACGCGCGCGAGTGTCCAGCTCGAGAACATTGACGTCGAAGTTGCGACCAGGAATGGCCCCCCTCTGTGACTGTGGCACCCATTTAGGGAGCAGCTTAACGAACTGCCCGTTGACCCTCGAGGTTGCGATCTTCGCGTCGGCGTCGTGCCAGCCCGAACCTCTCGCAGGGGGGGGGGGGGGCAGGATCTGGCGCGCCAAGTTCGAAGGGAATTGTCGTCGTCGCATATTCTGGCGAGCCGGACCTGCAGCGCGCCGTTGGAGCTGCGTCGAAGCATTTGCCCCCGCCAGATCCATGTCGGCGGGTCTCCTAGAATGTCCGGGCTCTCTGGCGCGGCCGCCCGCGCTGCGTGGGCGGTCGCGTTGGCGCCGAGCTCCGGGCGCTTCGCCCTGCGCGCGGCGCGGCGGAGCGGAGCTGGAGAGGAGGGGGGGGGGCCGCGGCGAAGTCGAGCGGCCTCGCGCGGGTCTCGACGCACCTCTGCGCCTCGCCGAGGCTGGCCCAAAATTTGATGGGAGCGTCGGTTGTTGCCGAATCGGGCCCCTTGGCCGCGCGCGGGGCCATGCGACGGGGGGCGGGTGCCGGTCGTCGCCCTGCGCTCGCGGGCCCGACTCTGATTCCTCCCCCCCCGCGCAAGCTCGGGCCGCTGCGCCCGGGCTTCGCTTTGCAACCGATAGTGCTCAGCGCGCCCCCGTTGCATTCAGACGGGCCATTGCTGAAATGAGGGCGGCGGCGGAGTTGAGCGCGACCATGCGCGATGTTGCTCGCCCGCTGCAATTGGGCGCTCGTTGATGCGTCGCGCTGCCGCGCCCGCGCCGCCCCTCCAAACCGAGCGAGCAACCGTCCGCGCGGCGATGGCTTCGTTGCGCAGGCACTCGGGGGAGTCGGGAATGAAGCGATAGCGTGCGTCTCGGGCCGCCTCGGGCATGGCCCGGGCGCGCAGCCCGACCTGCCTCGGACGGGGACTTGTTCGCGTTGCTGAGTTGCTTCGTCATCCGGCCGGTCGCCTCCGGGACCTGCCGCTGCCCGAAGATGTGCCGAGGGGTGCGTTGTTGCCTGTCTGTGTCATGCTGCTGTCGTCTAAGCGCCGCCACTTGCGCGACGTGATCAGTCGTTTTGGCTGCTTGCCACAAACTCAGGGGCGCCGATGGCCGCGGGCGGGGCGATGGTCTGCCATGGCACCCAGCTCAGCCAGCTGGTCGAACACCTGCCGATGGCAGAACCCGCGTGGGCATGTCTATCATCGCGAGTGACGTCGTCGCGAAAGATCTCGGTCATTTGTGCAACCAGCTTCCGCCATGTAAACTCCTGGGCACGTTAGCCCCCGCTGTCAACTCTTGCCCGTTCAGTCAGACGCAGGTGAAGAGGGGCGGAGTTGGAGACAGTGGAGTAAGTCACCGCGCAGAATGACGGGCCGAGATGTCGGTGCACGAGCCGCGCGCGCGCGGTCAGCGCGCGCCGCCCGAGATCTCATCGGCGCTTGCTTGGCGCTCTGCTCGCGGATGTGGATGTTATATGGAATGGCGAACTGCTGATCGGCATGGGCAGCGCGCGGCTAGGCGCCGCCGCAAATCTCGCGACGTCGGCCTTGCGCGTAGGAGGGGGAATGGGCGGCGCCGCCCTCGTTGGAACCGTCGAAATATGAAGGAAGCGCCCGTGGTCCACGCCGGGCCTTCTGCGGAAAATCACGTCGTTGGCTCTCGTCTTGACGTGGCTCTTGCAGCGCCGCCATCCCACGTTTAAAATTGATGCGCATGGGGTAATTCAGCTCCTTCTGCGACTTGGCGCCCTTGTATTGAAAGGAGAGCCCTTGTGTTCCGCGAGCTTGGTGACGCACGTGGAGCTTCCGTTCTGAATCTACAGGTCGCCTCTGCCAACGCGCTGAAGACACCATTCTGAAACTTCAGGAGGGGCGGCGATTGATTTGGAAACTGCTCCACGCGCTGACGGTCGAGCTGCAGCTTGGCGATCGTTTTGTTGGCCCATCGCAGGTCTGTCTTGTCGTTGCCATGGGGAGTGGGCGAAATGGGCGACGGGTCCAAACCTGTCGCCATATAGCCGCAGCCACGATGGAGGAATAATTTGTTTGCGGGGTCAATTGGGCGGAATGCATCCGTGAGCTTCTTTCCTTGTCGATCAATTTTGATACGCTTGGGTGTCTCGTCCGCGCCGATGGGGAGGTTGCATTGCAAGCAATATGCTGCGTCTGTTTGGGAGCATTCCCGCTGCCCATGACCGAACCGTGGGGCTTCAAGTACCTTTGACCACTCTGCGAGCTGCCGGTCGATTTGCCCTACTGTACTGGGCCGTGCAATAGCATGAGGCTTGTTCTGCCGACTCAGCGTCAAAGTCAGTGACTCGCACGCCCACCGTGGTGATCCAATCCGTTAGGCCCTGCGTAGCACCGTTGAGATCTGCGAGCTTAGACGTGAAGACCCTGATGATGGAATCGATGGTCAATCTCGCGCTCGAAGCCTGCAGAACTGGGGACGGGTGTGGTTTGAGCGCTCGCCTGATCGAGGGTTTCTCGAATCAGCTTGATTTTTCACGTACGTTGACGACGGCACTGTCGTGTTCATCCAATCTGCTTTCTGTTCCACGAAATCGAACATGATGGGCAACGGTCTGCTATTGCATTCGCCGATGGGGATCGCCGATTTCGTAAAATAACTCAAAACTGCTTAGCTTCAGCCGCACGGGGAATATCACGAACAGCCACGCCAATAGCACTGTTCCGTGAAGCCTGCTCGTAAGGGGTGGCGGCGAGGCTGGCGACCATGTCCTCGACCGTGGTGGAAGCGACGCCAGAGAGATCCTCGAGGCACGGACGGGTGTATTCGAACTGCTCGATGACTGGGGTGCGACCAAAATGGCCGAGGTACTCGGCGTTCCCTTCGTCATCATCGGGCGTGCCGTCGCCATCAGTAGCTTGTCGATCTGTTTGCCGTGCCATAGTTGCCAGCGCCAACAAGTTCGAGAGTGGGATGATCTTCGTCGCCAAGTGGTAAGTCCGCAGCAGTACCGGGAGTATCAGTAGTACGGTTCCTGCGGCCCTTGAGCTTCTTTGTGGTTCTGGGAACAAGGGCACCTTCGTTGCGAATGCGTTCGCCAATGAGAGGAACAACGCGTATACTGACAAGGACAGGGAACGCCTCCGTTTTTTCCGCCGGGCGGTCTGCGGGGAACGGATCTTGCTCCGACGCGAGCTCACTGGAATGTGGAAGCCTGGCCGCGGACTAGCGGTATTCACTTTGTTTCCGCGGAAGCAGACATCTTGAATCAAAATAGCTCCTGGTGCGGAGGAAAAGGAGGATGCTGATGATGATGATGATGATGATGATGATGATGATGATGATGATGATGATGATGATGATGATGATGAAGAGGAGGAGGAGGAGGAGGAGGAGGAGGAGGAGGAGGAGGAGGAGGACGAGGAGGAGGAACAAAAGCCAAACGAGTCACACCAACGCCCCCTAGGAGACCCCAAGACGGCCTCCAGGGAACCTGGACGACCCAGCAACGTCCACGGACACCCCGGGAGAGCTCCCAACGGCCTCCAAGGATCGCTGGGGGCGCCCAGGGCGGCAGCAGGGCACCAGAAGGCCCCCAACGAACCCCGAGGCACAACTCGCTCACGCACCTTGCCTCGCGGCCTCCGAATTCCCCTCGTGGGCCTTCCAAGCGCCGCCGAGGGGACCCCAGGAAGGAGCCCGAGGAGGCCCGTCGCCGATCCAAAAGAAGTGGCACTGGCATAAACATTCGACTCTTGAGGTCCGCGCGAATTTCTTGGATTCGCGCTGAACCTCCCTCCCTGGCGCGCGATGCGCGCCCGGGGCGGCGCAGGAGGCGCTCCCAGGGGATTCCAACGCTGGTCCAAGGAAGCCGTGCGGAGCTCCGAAAAAATAATGCTTGCTCCGTCTGTTTTTCTTCTGAGCGCGTGGACTTGAGCTCGCTCAAGCTTCGCTCTGCAGGGGGGGGGGTACGTTATTTCCGAAGCCATTTCCGACGTTTTTCGGTACACGGGGATATTTCCAACGTCATTTCCGACGTTTTTCGGTGCCCGGGGACAGGGGGGTATAGATTATCCCGGCAAAGCAACCTGACAGCGATATGTAGAAGCATATCTGAAAGCACTCCCCTTAAGATTCAGATGAAAATCTAGTTGTAGAATTCTGCTGTTCTCGCAGTCGTAGTCGCATTCGCGATGACAGTCGCAGCGGCAACGGCAGTCGCAGTCACAGCCTCAGCCTGCCTCAGCCTCAGCCTCAGCCTGCCTCAGCCTCAGCCTGCCTCAGCCTCAGCCTCAGCCTGCTTCAGCCTCAGCCTCAGTCTGCCTTCAGCCTCGGCCTCAGCCTCAGCCTGCCTCAGCCTCAGCCTGCATCAGCCTCAGCCTCAGCCTCAGCCTGCCTCAGCATCAGCCTGCCTCAGCCTCAGCCTCAGCCTGCCTCAGCCTCAGCCTGCTTCAGCCTCAGCCTCAGTCTGCCTTCAGCCTCGGCCTCAGCCTCAGCCTGCCAGCCTCAGCCTCAGCCTCAGCCTCAGCCTGCCTCAGCATCAGCCTGCCTCAGCCTCAGCCTCAGCCTGCCTCAGCCTCAGCCTCAGCTGCTTCAGCCTCAGCCTCAGTCTGCCTTCAGCCTCGGCCTCAGCCTCAGCCTGCCTCAGCCTCAGCCTGCCTCGGCCGCAGCATCAGCCTGCCTCAGCATTCAAAATGTGGCCCAGGAATGGAGTTCTGGGAACTAGAAGAACACGAAGTGGCCTACAGTTGGCTCCGGGCATTCAAAATCATGCCCAGGAATGGAATTCTGGGAACTTGAAGAGCACGAAGTGGCCTACAGTTGGCTCCGGGCATCCAAAATGTGGCCCGGGAATGGGGTTCTGGGAAATCAAAGAGCACGAAGTGGCCTACGATTGCTCCGGGCATCCAAAATGTGGCCCGGGAGTGGAGTTCTGGGAACTCGAAGAGCACGAAAAGGCCTACAGTTGGCTCTGGGCACTCAAAATGTAGCCCGGGAGTGGAGTTCTGGGAGGTCGAAGAGCACGAAGTGTGTGACTGTTCACAAAAAACGAGCCCGGCTCTGTTCCCGGTTCTCCAGAATGTGGCCCGGGAATGGAGTTCTGGGAGGTCGAAGAGCACGAAGTGTGTGACTGTTGGCGAAAAGCGAGCCCGGCTCTGTTCCCGGTTCTCCAGAATGTGGCCCGGGAATGGAGTTCTGGGAGGTCGAAGAGCACGAAGTGTGTGACTGTTGGCGAAAAACGATTCCCGGCTCTCCTCCCCGGCACCCGCCCAGACCCCCCTGTGGAGTCCAGATGCTCTCTTTTGACCCTACTAGAAACCTATCAGCAAAAGCTGTTAGGTAAAAACTCCACTTCCGGAGCCCTCCCCGGATCGGCGGCACTGGCCGGAGGCCAGCCCAATGATGCTTGCTCCGTCGGATTTTCTGCGACCACCGGCACCGGTGGACTTCCGCAACAACCCCAGCGACCCATCGCGGCAGCCCATGAGCTCCTCATGAAGGCAGGCCTCGGCCTACGTTGTCGTCGTCGTCGTCATCGTCGTCGTCATCGTCGTCGTCATCGTCGTCGTCGTCGTCGTGGTGGTCGTCGTCGTGGTGGTCGTCGTCGTGGTCGTCGTCGTCGTCGCCGTCGTCGCCATCGCCGTCGTCGCCATCGTCGCCATCCTCGTCGTCGCCGTCGTCGTCGTCGTGGTCGTGGTCGTGGTCGTGGTCGTCGTCGTCATCGCCGTCGTCGTCGTCGTCGCCGTCGTCGTCGTCGTCGTCGTCGTCGTCGTCGTCGTCGTCGTCGCCGCCGTGGTCGCGAAGGCCTCGGCCTACGGCCAGCATCGGCGCGGGCTGGCGGCTCTGCACGCCGGGCATCCCCACGGGCCTGGCGGCGGGCGCCTGTGCCGCGCGGGCGTGCGCGCCGCGCGGGCGCGCCGCGCAGGTGGACGGCGGCCGGGCCCTGTGCGAGAAGGTCAAAGAGGAGGAGGAGGAGGAGGCGAAGGAGGAGGAGGAGGAGGAGGCGGAGGAGGAGGAAGAGGAGAGGTGGACGGCGGCCGCGCCTTGCGCGAAAAGGTCCTCGTGCTGGTGCTGGGCCCGGGCCCTCTTCCTCGCTGTTTCCCCTTCCCTCTCTCCGCCTCGTCCTTCGTGCTCCGCCGTGTGGCTCGTGGTCGTCCTCGTTCTCGCGCTTCTGCTCGGTCCTCGTCGCCGTCGCCGTCGTGGTCCTCGGCCTCGCCCCCGTGCTGGATCTCGAGGCCCGCGTCCCCGCCAGAAAGAGAGAGAGAGAGAGAGAGAGCCAAGTGACATCGAAAGAACGCGAAAGCGAGCGAGCCATCCACGCGAGCAGGGACTTCGGCTGCTCGGCTCTCTGCCAGGGCGTGGGGATCTACCAGCCATACGAGATAGAAGCAATGAGCTCTAGCCTTTCACCATAGCGGCTCCACCTACCCTTCGCCCCAGAGCCTTTGGACTCAACTGGTCTTGGCACATACCCTCGTACAATCAAGACATCGTGTACTTCCGACGCGGCAACCCTCACGACACGAGCGTGGCCTCCGCGATTCACACGCAAGTCTGATATTTCTCAAAATGGATGAGCACCATGTAGATAGTGGCGCACCCGGCCTTTGCAATACCGTACGCTCGAAAGAAACACGGCCCTGCCCATTCTTGGTTTGTGTAAGAATTACCCACCGCCCCCCAGCGCAGCACCGAGCCCACCCGCAGACGCGATCCGCCCGCCCGGCGGCCCGCGAAGGACTGCCCGTTCTTAGCGGGCGAAGAGCGGTATAACAAACACTCGTCCGCCGTCAAGGCATCAACTTCCCAGCCACCTTGGGACAAGCGCACCCGATCGCGGAACAATTTATGCTATACCGTTCTTCGCCTGCTGACGTTCCTCCCCGCTCGTCTCGGACAAGCTGGAATCATCCTCCTCGACACCTCGCGAACCCTTCACCGGTGCCAGCGTGCTCACTGCTGGCAGACATGCTTCACTGAAGGTAAACATTTTCATTGAAGGAAAAAATTGTTTTGAAAGCGTACAACATTTTGGGAGGCCCGGAAATTGGCACCAACACCAACACAGGGGGTTGCCTCCACAGGGGGAAGATGATCCTCGATTTCGGTGTTGGTGGTAATATTTCGGTCACTTTGGAAGCCAGAATATTATCACCATCACCGAGATGGGGATCCTCTTCCCTCGGTGGAGGCACACCGCCGATCTTGGTGTTGGTGTCAATCTCTAGGACTCCGAATTTTGGCTTTCAGAAGACCTGGTACAAGTGTTTGCCTCCAGTGAAAGCAGGTGCGCCTTCAGTCTGGAGGCCACCGGGGGTCCGAACTTGTGGGGGCCCCGAAGATCGGGCAGGACGGTGGGATGAAGCCAAAGCCGCTCAAAACCGGTCCCCCGATCCTCCCGAGGCCCATGCGGTGCAGGTTTCCGCCCCAGGTCGGAGGGCACCAACTATACACCAACACCGATCCTGGCCAGGATCGGTGTTGGTGTATAGTTGGTGCCCTCCGACCAGGTTCGTTTTTCCCGGTCCTGGGCCACGAAAGTGGCCCTCCGAAAACAGAGAGAACATCAACCCTTCACGAAGCCAGACCCTCGAGCCGTCCCGCTCTCCTCCCGGAACCAGTGCTGAGGCACCTCATCATCCAGACGGCTCCACCCTTCAGTGAGCTTCTTGAAGGGCGTGGCATCACCCTCCTCGACACCTCGCGACCCCTGCATAAAACAGGGCTAGGATCGGGATAAATCGCTCCAGAGCGTTTTGGAGCGCTCTCAGAGCGTTCCGGAAAGCTCTGGAGCGGCCGCGGCGCCCAATACATCCTCCAAGCCCGCCGATTCTCAGGGATTTCGAGTTATCCCGATCCGATTTTGTCCCGATCTTCGCGTCGTTTTACCCTCCTCGACACCTCGCGACACCTGCACCCGTGCCGATGCCCCAATGCCCCAGCGCGCCGTCCGGCCGCAAGGGGGGCCTGCTCCGCGGCCGCGTCGCAGGCCTCGGCGCCGCCCTGCGGCTGCCGCTTCGACGCCACCGGCAGCGCCGGCGGGGGCGCCTCCTCGTGGCGGCCAGGGCGATCCAGGGGTAGGTTTTGCCGGGCCTCGTGGGCGAAAAGCAGATCTGTCTCTGCGGCCTCGCGGGCCAGGGCTCCTGGGCCGCGACCCCGCGGCGGACACGGGGCGGGCCCCGCGGAGGCCCCGCGTGGAAGGCATCGATACAACCGCGCGCGCCTCCACGGGATGGCGCCCCGGAATCCAGACCGAGAGGGCAGGGATATTGATATGGATACGTTCGCCGCTCGAGGAGGCCCAGCTCTCTGACGATCTGATTTTTAAGATCGATGCGCTTTTCCTTCATTTCGGTTCCTAGGGCCTTATGGCCCGTTATCGGGACCCGGGGCCCTCAGACATAAATCCGGGACGAAGAACTACTCCTCGGGAGCCTTGGGTCCACGCGTTGAGAACATCAGATCGGAGGATGTCTGGGGATTTGGCCCTGGCCCGAGACGAGCTTTTCCAGGGAGGCCCAGGGGAACTCCAGATCACCCGACGCCGAGCCCCGAGGGCCCTGGGGGCTCCCATCATTGCGCGGGAAGCTGGTGGCACCTGGGGCCAGGAGCACCTCGTGCAACCGCCGACCAAGGGGGGCTGGTCGGCCCCGAGGAAGGGCCTGCCCCTCTCGAACTGCCAGTGCCAGGGCTGCCACAACCGTACTCCAGATTTCGTAATAAAAGGGAGGGGGTCTCATTTCGGGGGGGGTCTCTTCCAGCCTATCTTGGAGGGCCTGGGGGGGTCTGGGGACGATGTTTTGGAGGGTTCTCCCACGGGGGGGGGTCTGAAATGGCTTGTCTTGGAGGGTCCAGACCCCCTCCCTTTTATTACGAGATCTGGAGTACTTCTTTATGCCCAGGCTGCCACTGCCCATGCTTTTTTCCATGCCTGGGCTGCCGCGGCCCTCCTTCTCTCCGTCGGTGTTTCGGCCTCCCTTCACGTCTCGTCGCGGCTAACGTGACGCTCGGATGGCTCTAGACGATGCCCCCCCCTCCCACCTCGCAGAACACTTCTTCCATGCCTCTCGGGATGGAATTATTGTACCTGGGGCCTGGCAGGAACGCCCTGTGGTCTCCTGGAGGGCTCCCGGGAACTTCTTGGGGCCTCCGGGGGGCCTCCTCGGGGCCATCCTGCTGCCAACCACTGGCGCTTCAACTGCTAGGTCAAGATTTGGAGGGTATGGGGTATTATCTTGGAAGGTCTCCAGCTGGGGCCATCTTTGGACCCGCCTGGAGCGATCTGAACTTCCTTTCGTGGCTGTTTCGGGCTGTCTTTGGACGATGTTGTGGGGCTCTTGGACCGCTTTGGGCGCTCTGATACAGAAAACGCGAACATGATCAAACAGTCCTACACGCACATCAAGAGCGTGAGTGTTACTTGCCCATTCGGTGCCTCTTGAGGGTCCAATCGGGAGAAGGTTTGGGGCGTCTTGGGGGCCTATTTTGCTCCCTCCCCCTCCCACTTTTCTCTTCCTTGATCAAACCTGCCTTTCTTGCCCTTTTCGCCACGGCGATCGCCGTGCTCATCGTAGGATGGGTCTTCTTGGTGCTACCAGTCGTCATCGTCATGTTCTTCTTCTTGATCGTGGTTTCCATCATTGTTCTGCCAATCTTAACTGTAGTCATGCCAACACTCATCGTTTCATGATTCACCAATTTGTGTCTGTAGCCTTGGGACTGGTCGAAAGACAAATTACAATTCTGGTTGATCTCCAGCTGAGGGGATACCATCTCGCGATACTTGCTGAAGTCTCCGCAGACGTTGAGACGTCTACCCGATAGTTGTCGTTCAGAAAGTTCAGATCAGCTGGAGAACAACAACGCCGTGCCACTGTCGCTGATGACGAGACCCCCGTGCTACTGCGTTTCAGAATCTGGCTTCTCTCATTCGACAACGTAGGCCATCCAATCCATGATGAACGAACTCATGAAACAGAAAGGATTTCCCAACTTCATCCAATCCAAACTATGATTACCATTACCAGACAATTCAGCAAACTTCTGAATCAGAACTTTCACTCGGGCGTGATCGGCCAACGGGCTTTGTTGACCATTGGCTTCCATGGTCGAAGCCTTGGCGTCGAAGGGCACGGCGTCAACTCCTTCACGAACGACGTTTGATGTCATGGTGTCGGGTTCTGGCCTCGTGATGGTCAGACCACGGGCGATGCGCAGAGATCTTTGTACAAGTCCTAACATCATCGCGGTCTTACTCTGTTGGCTGGCCCAGACCGAAATCTACTCCTTCATGGGGTATGCTCTAGGGTGTCCATCCTGGTGGTACGTGCAGGTGTACGATCGAACACAAAGCTGACCCATTGCCGTGGGGTATTTCTGCAAAGGTATGGCGGGAACAGCTGCGGCAAAGCTTGGCGGAGTTCGGCATCAGAGGAGCTCGGAAACACGGCAGAAATCTCCGGCCTACCTGCGGAGTCGCCCCGCATACGGCGGATCCGAAGTCGGGGCCACCGACCCCTTCCCTGGAGAGGCAAACATCGAATCGACAAATCGGACAGGCGGTCGACATGCACCGGGTGGCGGAAATCGGCAGCACGCCGGGGGACGTCGAATCGGCGGAGCTCGGCGGGCTAGGAAGGCCTCCGTTGAGACGCCGCAGCCCACATCAGAATCCGCAATCGAACCAAATCGGAATCGGAATCGGAATCGATCGACATCGAATCGAGCCGAGTCGGAGGTATCGAAGAACTCCAGGTCGGAATCCGAAACCGAATTGAATCGGGATCGACATCCACTCGACATCGAGCCTGAGCAATCGAAACGAGCCAGGCCCTCCCCCCGGGGAATCCAACAAAAGGTACCGCTGCGGCTGCTCCCTGGACCTCTTCGGGGGTGCGTTCTGGCCAGAATTTCGAGGCGACTCCAGCGTTGGCAACGCGAGGCCGCGCCCGCGGCTGCGAACTGCGAACCGAGCTCCAGCGTCGAGGAAAACGCTAGAACTTGAACTAAGATGGCTACGAGAGGGGGGGAGGAGGAGGAGGAGGAGGAGGAGGAGGAGGAGGAGAAGGAGGAGGAGGAGGAGGGAGGAGGAGGAGGAGGAGGAGAGGGGAGGAGGAGGAGGAGGAGGGAGGAGGGGGAACACGAGGGAAGGGTAGCGTTATCGACAACTTTCCCTTCTCTGACCCCCTCTCCTGCTGGCGGCTCTGCACGGGCAGCGCGGGGGCGCCCCGCGCCGTGGGCGGCAGCGGCAGCGCGGGCGCCGTCCGCGGGGGCGGCGCGAAGGGGGCGTCGGCGGCGGGCGCACCACCTGCCGATGTCCCCCCCCCCCCCCGCGGTGCGGGGGTAGGGGCAGGGGCAGGGCCGGGCAGGGGAGGAGAGGAGGAGGAGGAGGAGGAGGAGGAGGAGGAGGAGGAGGAGGAGGAGGAGAGAGGAGGAGGAGGAGGAGGAGGAGGAGGAGGAGGAGGAGGGAAGGAGGAAGAGGAGGAGGAGAAGGAGGAGGAGGAGGAGGACGAGGAGATGCTGATGATGATGATGCTGCTGCTGATGACGGTGATGCTGCTGCTGATTAATCGCTTCGCTCATTCCGCCGGCCCATATTGTCGCACCGTTGTGGGCTAGCCGAGTTTTGGGGCCTCTTGGGGGCCGTTTTGGGGCCTCTTGGGGCCTCTTTTGGGCCTCTTGGGCGCCTCTTGGGGCGTCTTGGGGGCCTCTTGGGGGCCTCTTGGGGCCTTTTTGGGGCCTCCTGGGCGCCTTCTGGGGCGGAGGGCTCGATTTTTCAGTTCTCGGTTCCCCTCTTGAGCCCCTCTTGGGCCCGTCTTGGGGCCTCTTGGTCCGTCTTGGGCGGCACTTGGGCCGTCTTGGGGGCCCTCCTGGGCCGTTCCGGGGCCGTCTTGGGAGCCTCGTGGGCCGTCTTGGAGCGGTCTTGGGGGCCTCTTGGGCCGTCTTGGAGCGTCCGGAAGCCGAAAAAGCCAGAACGCAAAAAACATCGAACAAAAAAATGAAAATCAACGATTTTGGCCTCTTGGGGCCCTCTTCGGAGGCCTCTTGGAAGGCCCTTGGGGCGTCTTGGAGGCCTCTTGGGCTGTCTTGGGGCCCTGTTGGGCGTCTTCGGGCGATCTTTGGCCGTCTCGGGGCCCTCTTGGACCGTCTTGGAGGCTTCTTGGGGACCTCTTGGCCCGTCCTGGGGCCCTGTAACAGGGCTCCGGCATCTCTGGCCCGACCTTGCCGGGACCTTGCCGGGGACTTGCCGGGGACCTTGCCGGGGTACTTTTCGTCCGGGGACCCCCAGGGGCCGCCCCGCGCGCGCGAACTAGAAATACTGTTAACCAGGTACCGGAGATCTTAGCACGCCCTGGCCCGTTGGTGAGGAGGAGGAGGAGGAGGAAGAGGAGGAGGCGGAGGAGAAGGGATGAGGGGAAGGAGAAGGAGGAGGAGGAGGAGGAGGAGGAGGAGGAGGAGGAGGAGAAGGGGGAGAAGGAGGAGGAGGAGGACGAGGAGATGCTGATGATGATGATGCTGCTGCTGATGACGGTGATGCTGCTGCTGATTATGATGGTGATGATGCTGCTGATGGTGCTGATGCTGATGATGAGGAGAAACATGATGATGATGATGATGATGAGGAACATTGGGAACATTGGGGTAACATGACAACGTAGGTCAAGGACAGTGCCCAGAATGCAAGTGCAGAAACTTACAAGGTCAGGAGCCCAAAGCCTCCCTCACCGCTTTGGGGGGGCCTCCTGGGTGTGGGTATTCACCTCGATCGATGCGGGCAAGGTTCTGTCTGCCCTTTGCCGAGGGCTCGCATCGAGGGACAAGCTGCCGTGCATCAGTCTTGCACGTCTTCCCGCATTGGGAGCAACAAATCAGCATACATTTTCGCCAAAACTGGAGCCGATGGGTCTCATGGAAGGTTTTCCCCCCCCACACCCCGCGGGCCCGAATAAGGCGAGAACTCATTAGTTCCTCCGCCCCTGCAGGGAGATTCACAAACCTGGAAGATCGAGTCCTGGTTGGCGAGCAAATCGCATCTCCTGCACCAGAATTTC